TTTCTGAAAGCTTTTTAGGTGGTATGAATCTCGGTTGCAAATTCATCTAATAACATTTTCATGGTTATAATATTTGCAAGACAGGAGATTATTGCCGCCCCCCCCCCCGTTTCTTAATGTCAAGGTGAATTTCCCACAGTATTCTGGGCATTGGATTGGTTGAGTTTCCTTCTGGCCCAGGCTTTATGTAGGGAGAGTCCCCCATTGTACTTCCTCCATGGGGTGGGCTCTAGACTTTGACTTCTGGACTCCTGTGAGAGCATCAAAACAGGTACTAAATTCACCTGGTTTGGAAATGGCCCTCTTGCAGGAATTTCCATATCCTGCTTACCTTTCTGGGTACACACTTTCCCTTATATTTTGCACTTGTGAGTCCTCACTCTCTTCTCAGTTACATTATAGGTGGTTTATAGGATTTGATTTTCTATTTTATTTTAATATATTTTATTTATTTATTTATTTATGGCTGTGTTGGGTCTTCGTTGCTGCACCCAGGCTTTCTCTAGTTGTGGTGAGCAGGGGCTGCTCTTCATTGTGGTGCTCAGGCTTCTCATCGCAGTGGCTTCTCTCATTGTGGAGCATGGGCTCTAGGTGCATGGGCTTCAGTAGTTGTGGCACGCGGGCTCAGTAGTTGTGGCTCATGGGCATAATTGCTCCGTGGCATGTGGGATCTTCCTGGGCCAGGGCTCAAATCTGTGTCCCCTACATTGGCAGGCGGATTCTTAACCACTGCGCCACTAGGGAAGCCCCGATTTTCTATTTTAGATACTATTTTACTTTTTAAAAAAAGCAGAGTCGGGGCTTCCCTGGTGGCACAGTGGTTGAGAATCTGCCTGCCAATGCAGGGGACACGAGTTCGAGCCCTGGTCTGGGAGGATCCCCCATGCTATGGAGCAACTGGGCCCGTGAGCCACAGCTACTGAGCCTGCGCGTCTGGAGCCTGTGCTCCTCAACAAGAGAGGCTGCGATAGTGAGAGGCCCGCGCACTGCGATGAAGAGTGGCCCCCGCTTGCCACAACTAGAGAAAGCCCTCGCACAGAAACGAAGATGCAACACCGCAAAAAAAAATTAATTAATTAAAGTCTTAAAAAAAAAATCTATACTGGAAACTATTTAAAAAAAAAAAAGCAGAGTCATTTCCTAGCCTATCATATTACCATAACTGAAACTTTTATATGGATTTTGAAAAACAAATCGATATAGAATAGTATTAAGAATACAGAATCTAGGGGCTTCCCTGGGGACGCAGTGGTTGAGGGTCCGCCTGCTGATGCAGGGGACACAGGTTCGTGCCCCGGGCCGGGAAGATCCCACATGCCACAGAGCGGCTGGGCCCGTGAGCCATGGCCACTGAGCCTGCGCGTCCGGAGCCTGTGCTCCGCAATGGGAGAGGCCACAGCAGTGAGAGGCCCGCGTACCGAAAAAAAAAAAAAAAAAAAAAAAGAAGAATACAGAATCTAGAGTCAGACTGTCTGGCTTTATCTCATGAATCTAGGCTTTATCTGCTGTGTGATATTGGGCAAGTTACTTAACTTCATTGTGTTTCACTTTCCTCATCTTTAAAATGAGGAAGGTAATAGTATTTTCCCCATAGTACAGGTAAAGCACTTAGTACTCTTTCTGCCACCTGGTAATCATTTAAGCGTTAGTTATGATTATTATTACCCTTCTATGAGAATTGGTAAAAGAGACAAAGTGAGAAATGATAAGGGACGAGGGAGATAAGGTTGTGAGGATAACGTGTTTGGGGATGTGGAATGGAGAAAATGACAAAAATCTGAGGGAAAATAATACAAAAAGAGGTTTTATCAAGGAAGTCTTGATGTATGTTATGCAATATAATTCACCCTTTTCTGCTCTTTCAGAAGATCTTCTGGAAAAGACCTGGTTTAGTTTTCAATTTTTTTTTAGCCGGATTTGTGTCTTTTGGATGTGATACTGTATGAGGCTGGTTTCTAGGTCGCGCAATCTTATCCTAGTTATGTATTCCCCGTGAGTATCTCCATTGCTTTGAAAATCTGTCTGAAACAGAGCCTGCACTCAAAACAAAGCAACACCAAGACGACTTGAATAGAATAAATGAATGAAACACTGGCAAAATAAAACATAATTTTTAATCAGAAAAGAAAACCTAGAGGGTAGAGAGGCCTTTGTAGCACCAAACATAGTAAGAAAGATGATGTAAAAATGGTGATGGTGCTTTAAAAATAGCATTTTCTAGTTACAACAGAGTGAAGCGGCTTAGGACAGAACACTTGGAGAACATAGAGCAGGGCTTCTCCACCTCGGCACTACTGAGATCTTGGGCTGGATAATTCTTTGGTGGGTGGTTGGGTGCGGGGTGTGTCTGGTGTATTTTAAGGTGCTCAGCAGCAGACCCAGCCTCTACGCACTGGATGCCAGTAGCACTGCCCGACACACTCGGGCACGAACACACACTAGGACACACAACTAGAACACACACTCCTAGTTGTGACAACCAAAAATGTCTCTGGATGTCCCAAATGTCCCCTGGGGGCAAGATCACTCCAGGCTGAAATCACTTCAGCATGGCTGAAACAGAGGAATTACAAAAGTCATCTGTTATCCTAACCATCTAGAAATGTAAGTATTTCGTGTTTTTGTTTTTTTGGGTTTTTTTTCGCGGTACACGGGCCTCTCACTGTTGTGGCCTCTCCCGTTGCGGAGCACAGGCTCCGGACGCGCAGGTTCAGCGGCCATGGCTCACGGGCCATGTGGGATCTTCCCGGACCGGGGCACGAACCCGTGTCCCCTGCATCGGCAGGCGGACTCTCAACCACCGCGCCACCAGGGAAGCCCCAGTATTTCGTTTTAAATAAATACAAATGACCCAACACATTCACATTGAACCTACCATTCTATAGCCGCTTTAATCTTCACTCAGTAATTCAGCATGGACACTTTTGTTATGTAATGTTCCTCTATAGCATAACTTGTTTTTGTCGTGTGAGTACTTTCTAATAAACTGATCTTAGCTTCTCCCTCCTGCCCCTTGTTTCACTGTTGTCATTAATTTCACTTATATGTAAGCATTTCACAGGGTACAGAATTCTAAGTTGGTGGACTCCTCTGATAACCCTTTATTTCACTCCCCTCTCTTCTTGCTTGCACGCTTTCGGACGAGAAGTCAGATCTGATTCTTTTCCTTCCTCCTCTATAGATAAGGGTTTCTCCCGCCCCTGCCTTCTTCAGGATTTCTGTTTGTAATCTTTGATTTTCCATGGTTCGAGAATGATTGTAGTTTTTCTGGCATTTATCCTGCTTGGTGTTCTCTGAGGGTTTGGTGTATGACATTAATTTGGGGAAAATTTCCAGTCATTATTGTTTCAAATATTTGTTTCTGTTCCTTTCTCTCTTTCCTCCCCTTTAGATATTCCCATTACATGTATGTTACACCTTTTGCAGTTGTCCCACAGTCCCTGGGCATTATGTTCTGTTTTTTTCAGTCTTTTTTCTTTCTCTTTTTCAGTTTTGGAGGCTTCTGTAGAGGTATCCTCAAGCTCAGAGATTCTTTCCTGTGTCATATGTGTTCTACTCATAAGCCTATTGAAGGCATTCTTCATTTCTATTGTACTTCTTACCTGTAGCATTTCTTCTTGGTTCTTTCTTAGAATCTCCATCTCTCTGCTCACATTGCCTGTGTGTTCTTGCATTCTGTCTACTTTACCCATCAGAGCCCTTAGCCTATTAATCCTAATTGTTTTAAATTCCCAGTCTGATAATTTTAACATCTAGGCCGTAGCTGAGTCTGGTTTTGAGGCTTGCTCTTTCTCTTCAAACTGTGTTTTTGCCTTTTAGTATGTCTTGTCTCCTGGATAGTCGGACACTATGTACTGGGTGAAACGACCTGCCCGGCACTGGTTCCCAGGGAGGTTGCTGCTGGTGGGTTTCTGCTCCCATAAGGTGTTGTTCTCTGTACTTGCCTGTCTGTCTATCTCTCTAATTTGGGGGTCAGTGGTTTGCCCTGTGACCTCAGTTCTCTCACAGATCTAAATAAAGTTGCTGATTTTTCAGTTTGTTCAGCTTTTACTTTTAGTCACATAATTTTTAATTAATTAATTAATTAATTAATTAATTTTTGGCTGCATTGGGTCTTTGTTACTGTGCGCGGGCTTTCTCTAGTTGCAGCGAGTGGGGGCTGCTCTTCATTGTGGTGCACGGGCTTCTCACTGTGGTGGCTTCTCTTGTTGAGGAGCACAGGCTCTAGGCACGTGGCTGCAGTAGTTGTGGCACGCATGCTCAGTAGTTGTGGCTCGTGGGCTCAGTAGTTGTGGCACACAGGCTTAGCTCCACGGCATGTGGGATCTTCCCTCACCAGGGCTCAAACCCGTCTCCCCTGCACTGGCAGGCGGATTCTTAACCAGTGCGCCACCAGGGAAGTCCCTACTCACATAATTTTTAAGGTATGCTGATATCAACAGTGTATGGACATACCACACTTTACATAACAATCCCATAATATTGGAGATTATGATGGATTCAAATAAGGCTACAATAAATACATCTGATTATTTCCTTAGAGTAGATTCTTGTGAGAAGAACTGCAGCTCAGACAAAAGACGAAGTACTGAAATTTGGTGTCACCCTGTCTCGCCCTCACCCACCGAATTCTCTTCGCACAGCACGTCCACACGACCCTGTCCACGGGGGAGAATTGCTGGCCAGTTTCCCAGGAGAGGACCGCGCGCTCTCTCGGGGATTGGAAGGCCTCCACCGACAGGAGGCGCTGTGGTTCTTACAGCGGCCCCAGGCGATACCGTAGCCGCTCTCTCAGCGCCGCTGCCGCTCTGCCCACCGCGCAGCGCCCTCTCGACGGCCCCGGTTTGCGGAAGTGTTTCCAGGAGACGGCGAGTGAGCTGCGCGTGCGCGGTGGGCGCGGCCGGCTGGAGGTGGTGCCTGCCGGATCAGGGGCGCCGCGGCCCGGGATATCCGCTCTATGGTGCGCAGGTGCTGTGGCCGCCGGTGGACGCGTCTTCGGGATGGAGCACATCCGTACGACCAAGGTGGGCGCGCGGAGGGCCGCTCGCAGCTGGGCGGTTTGACTGGCGTGGGCGGCGGGGCGCGGCTGGCCGGCGGACGGGCCGGGGACGCGGGGCGGCCTGGGGGGGCGTGAGGCGGGGTTCTGGTCCGGAGTTGGGTGCGGAGGGTCTGGGGTCCGTTCAGTGGGGCCGGCGGCCGACCCCCAGCGCTGCGGCTTCCCGGGCGGAGTCGGGGCTGCTGCGGCCTGGTAGCCCGGAACACACCTGGGCGCCGGTGCACCTCCCCTGCTCGGGTCCTGCGGTCCCGGGTCACGGATGCTCGGTGCAGGCGTCGGGGGAGCTGGGACCGGCGCTAGGCTCCACCTCACTTCCCTGGGGTTTTGGGGTTTCCGGCTCCGCTTCACACTTGGGTGTCTTTAGTGGCAAGTCAGCTGCGCAGACGAGTTACGGAGGAAATGGTCTCCAGCTGAGCTGATTAAATCCCGTGCTTCAGTTTTGTGTGTGATTTTCAGTTTTGTGTGTATTTACTTTGAGAACAAACATATTCTTATGATTCGGGTACAACTGTGAACACGGATGGAAGTGACCTCAAAATATTGCCAAGTTACTTTACCGACAACGCTGAAGTTCAGCTTCCACTTTGGGAGGGCAGGAAACAAGTCGAGATCAGAAGAACTGAAGAGCATGTTTTTAAGCTCCGCGCGGAGCCTAACAGAATCGGGACGAGGACCACTGTGAACCTTGACTCTCCGGGTTTTGCCGAAACCATCGGTCAGTTGCTGCCCATCCTCATTCAGGGAAAGA